CTTGGACCTTTCATATGTTGTATCGTTCTTGGGCTGTACAATGTAAACGTTCAGGAAAAAAATACCACATCGTGGATTACTGTAGTCGACGTGAGCTACTACATCAAAATGCTCAAACTTTACTAGCGTCCTCAGGCAGGTTCAGACTTTGCGACTGTCGCGCGACTCGCGGAATCTGTTAGCGGGTGAAGCGATGTGCAGCGAATGTAGCAATTCTTATCGTCGGCTGTCCTCGATAAGACAGTGCGTGATCTGAGGTGCTAGTTAGGGTCTGATGTCCCAAATGACCATGTGAGTGTACAGCCTCCTTTCAAACCCCGGGCACTGACTAACTCACCGGCTCATCGGAGGCGACGAGCACAGCATAATAGTAGATCTAACTCGCGACTACCATGGTATGGCTGCCTAGGTTGCCTTCATACTTTGCACCGGCCTGGAAAGTGAGGGCTGGGCGAAAAGTGGGAAAGTACGAAATGGGCCAATACAGGATACTGGCACATGGTGTTGCATTGAGGACGTATGATTGGTGAGGCACCCCTCCATAATCGTGCTTTTCTCCTTTCCGCAGATTCCACGCGTTCCACACACCGCATTGCAAAGTATGAAAACACCCCTATGGAGTTTTGTCCACTTAATTGGAGCGCTTCTTCGAATCAATCACTGATTTCACATGTCGATAAACCATTGTACATATGCGACTCAAACTGGAGACGATTATTCTGCGCAGATAAACTTCCAGAAGATCTACAGGTTATGGGCAGCAGGAGTGTTGACGAGATTACATGTCACTGACACGCCTAGAGGTCTGTAATTGGCTGCGCGCGCGTGTCAGCCAATCACAGGGTGATGCAGCACGAGTTGTTGAACATCCTGCAGCAGACGACTCAGAGAATCCTTCTGCAAGTTTAACTGAGGTGAATGGTCAACGCTGACAGACTGATCCATCTATGAGACTTCATGTCTTTGTAGGGTAGAATTCGAGTAATATAGGGTGTTCCAAAAAGGACTTCCACAGCGTCCACAACCCATGCAAATCAGGTCCACAGGGCGATCTGAGCTTCCTGTTTAGTGATGAACTTTAGCGGTGCCTAAAACGGCTATGGCTGCGTTTTTTTTGCGATTCCGCTCTTATCCGAACTGATGGGCTCGAGGCAACTCCCCCCCCACACAGGGTCGGTCCTATCGTTGGGACTTTTTGCAAAATTTTTACGACCCCTCCTTCACGAAGATTTCATACGACCCCTTCTTCACAACTTATTTTTCCCTCAAAAAACACGTCGGGAGAGGGGAGGGGAGGGAAGGGGGTAAGCTACCACGAAACCGCCAAAATTTCCTCTGATTCCCTCTCCTCCTTTTCCCTTTCCCCTCATTTCACCCTATTTTGTACCAACGTAGAGTTGACCCTGCCGCTCACCCCTAGATTGGGCTACACGAATTCCCGAATCTCGTGACAGTATACGTGACGTGACAGTATAGTAGCGGGCAGCAGTCCCACTTACATAAATTTCTGTTCAAAAAATGCGGCGTGCCCACCCTACTTGTATAGCACCGAAATGAATATAAGGCAAGGACTTGTGACTATATGAATAAGTGATACGAACAGAAATATGAAAAAAGTATCGATTTTCGGGAAAAAAAAGAGAAGAATGATAATGATAGACAAACAGTGGCCGCCACCCGTTAGACAGTGATATGCGCAATATCGAAGATTGCACGTAGACGCCAGTGGTCGATGACCCATCGACCAAAAAATGCGCTAGCGAAACTCGCCTTTCCTATCGATTATGGACTGTTCAAGAGTTCGTTACTGTCGGTCTTTTTCTCACTACAGAATATTTGGGTGCTAACTTAGTTGGGGGGCCACGCGGCGGCGCGGCAGTCTGCTCGCCTGGCATGTTCGGAAATCCGTGGGCCAGGGGGAGTGTAGGCAGTCTAGGGGGGGGGGGGGGGGGGGCAGTCACTTGACATGCGTGAAAAGCTGGAATGTTCGAGTTTACACTGTCTCGCTCGAGAGAGCCCAGGTGAGCAGACTGCCGCGCCGCCGCGTGGTCCCCCCCCCAACTAAGTTAGCACCTATATTTGGTTACAGTATTCCAACATGTCAACTCCAAAGTGGTACCACTTGAGGAAACTCCCAAGGAAAGAAATTGTTCATTCAAGGAAGAAACAATGGAACCCCATTGCGAAGGTGTCTGGGCAAGAACTTTACCCGGCTTGAACCATGGCTTCTTTCAGACACACACCCTCTGATGGATCATCGGTGTTAATATCGTCGTTGAACTTGGTACCACATGACACACTTCTACCCCATCCCCTACCAAAACGCACGCAGTTTATCGAGATCAAATAGCGAAGGCTACCAATAAATGCTCCGTTAAAATGGCAAAACTCGTCAAAAATCGCGAAAATTTCCGACATTCTCTAGAATTCACAAATATAATGTTAATAAGAAATAGTTTTCCATGAATAATAATAAAAGTTACTCCGCCGGCTCGAAAATTTCCCCTCATTCAAAGGACGACCCCACTTCGTTAAATACAGCCCTGCCCACCACCTCTCCCCCTGCCTCACTCCTTCGCCCTCAAATCACAATTTACGATGTTTCCGCCATCTGAATTGGTCAGGCGAAATGATGATCTTGGCTCCAACACGATCCCACTTGCAGAAATCGATCAGGCACTCTCCTCAAACCTTCATTTAACGAGTGAACAACTGATCCATTCAACTATAAAATTTCCGAAGGATTTTTCCGAGACATAGGGTTCAGTAGAACACGTCCACGGTAGCGCCTATACAGGGGGGGGGGCAAAAAAAAGTCACTTCTCTCCACATTCAAAACGCAATTAATCTCGAACTGCGAAACCAAATCAAATGAGCCCAATTGCATATTAAAGAGCACATTCAAGTCTATCAAAAGTTACATGACAGCCTTTTACACACGGAAACATGGTTCACGGTACGAGCTCAACGAGGTCGTCGAGGTACCATAGACCATTACGACGTCCCTGAAACGCTGGTCAAAAGCGGTCTTGCACAGTCACAGCTAGTGTCTCTGGAAGCTATTCACCAGTTAACCGATTGAAGAAATTATGTAGCAGCTTCAGGCCGGAGCGATTACGGTAAGCCTCGTTGAGCTCGACGGTGACGGCAGATGACGTCATATTCTGAAGACGGTGAGGGCAGTGAAGGAGGGCCTGCTTCTGCTTATGGGGGGACACCTAAGGAATATTCTGCCGTAAAACATTCATTAACAACGGCATCCTGTGCGACGAAAAATTTGATGATGTGCGCCATAGGCACTTTTTTTGCCCCCCCCCCCTGTATAGAATATTCTAGAAAAAAGGTAGACAAAATCGTGGATCCATTCAAGGTAGCTAATCAAGGTGATGCCGCAACACATGGCGATTGAGCGCGCCGTCGCGGGGCGTCCTACTTGATCACATACCTCGTATGTTAGCGGTCACAGCATATCTTCGGGTACCCCCCAGGAGGCCCGTCGCGCGGCAAGAAGGCAGAGTCGCGGACGAGTCGCAGCGCGTGAGCGATGTAGGACGTACAATGGGACATTCTATTTAACTTGACGCGAAATCCCTACAGTACGCGCGGAACTCGTCCGCTGACTCGCCTTCTTGCCGCGCGACGGGCCTCCTGGGGGTACCCCATATCTTCACTAGCATGACACGTGGTGCGCTGATTTTTTGTCTGTGGCTCTCTTGAGAAGCACTTCAAGTGCACTACTGCAGTTATTAGTCACTGTTGCAAAACGAATCAATGACAATCGCTACTTTCAGGAACAGTGTACTTTAAAAAATTCATCTTTACGGTAAATAAACACAACAATCAAAGTGAGAAACATGGCAGTGCATTCGAGGTGGCAGTGGTGATTCCTGCATTTGTGCTCTGAAATAACATCTTCTGAACAAATTCTAGATAACCTGATTAGCCTTAAAGGCAGTGATCACCATGGCCGGAGGGCGGTGCGGTTTCGATGACGTCATTGAACGTCACTCGTGGATTAGCCCCATTAGCGCGCTTAGGGATGTGGTCGGGACTGCCTCTTAACGCTCTTCCATCAATGACGTTTAACGACGTCAATAAAAACCTCAACACCCTCCAGCCATCACGATCACTGCTTTCAATCCCTGGCCAGATTTGTTTAGGAGCGTCGTTTTTTCACACAGGGAGCAAATATCAACAGTGAAAATTACTGGTGCTATCTTAGTTGGGGGGGGACCACGCGGCGGCGCGGCGCTCTGTTCGTCTGCTCCTCCAAGGCTTAGTCCGCCGATGGCGCGTATTTCGAAACTGCCACGTGATGGCGAAATAGTAACTGCCCCTGGGACTAAGCCTTTGGAGGAGCAGACGAACAGAGCGCCGCCGCCGCGTGCCCCCCCTCCAACTAAGATAGCACCAATTGCTGTACTAAAGAAGTACACCCAAGTCCGCTTAGCGTCTAAAATGTGTTACTTCGGTCTTGTGGCGATGGCTGTGTCAAGACAGTGAGTAAAGCACCATTGGTGGAAAGACGCTAATTGTAGAAAGTCCATTCTTGTATTCCTTATGGGAACCAATTTATCGTACCTTCTGCCCTTGAAAGAAGCTCACCGGTAGCTTAGTGTCTGATCACTGTTTTCAAGGGCTTCTCGTTAACAGTAAGCTGGAACACGTCTGGACGGCTATAATGTCCCACAGTGTCCAGATCCATCTTACCGCGAGCAATTTGGGATAGATCTATGTTGACGTAACTGAAAAATTCCAATCAGATCGTATGTTTTTGTTGGTAACAGTGGTGCAAACTCCACCCACTGTATTAGCTCCTTTGTAAAATCTGGTTCCACGAGTACTTTTCCCAAGGATCGATGGCACAGGAACCGCCTCGTAAGAGAACCTCAATATAATCGATAAAGATATGCCAATTTTACAGAATGATATGACTTTTATTCGAGCTTACCTCATCCTTGCCATGTTTCTCACGGATCGGATGTCCTTCTGGATACGCCGCTGATGTCAGGAATTGCGCAGATGAAAAAACAAAACATCTGAAAAGTAGTATTTAGCCTGAATGCTACCGGGGTGGGCATAGTTTAGGCGAAAGGGGATCCGGCTTTTCGTAATGAAAGCTCAGTACTCATACTAGCCGAATTCATGCCGTTTGACCCTGGCAAAAGCTGCACTGCCGTTTATGTGTCTACGTCTAATTATTTGGAATACTTGTACACTAGACCAAATCGTTGATAACTACCTGCACAAGATTGTCATTCAAACCCCTTCGCTGGTGGACTCTGAAAGCACCTAGGCTAGCAGCTGTTTAAGCCTTGGCTTATCCATCCTCCAGCTTGTCGCGCACTCCATGCACGCTTCCTGTAATTGATCTTGGGCTCTTTGAAGAGAAATAACGCTCCACACTTTTTTGAGAAGCACGACAATACAGATAACGAAATATCAGTGTTGGATTTTTGTCACTCACGCGCCTTCCATTTGCTACATTCTCACAGTTGTAGCCATGTTTCATCGTCGTCGCCCAGTTTAGGGATCCTATTATCAATCTGGTATGCCATAAATTACTACTTGTTCTAAAATATTTAACACACCTTTACTTTGCATTTCGCACAATAAAATGCCCTCTTCAAGCAAGCATCCTGGGCAGCAAGAAGGCCCACATACATACAATCGCACATAACTTCCTAATGCTGGCAGAAGTGTATTTCTTTGCAGTTTTTGAGCAGAAAAATAGCACGGGCTGTTGGAATTGTGCCAAGTGTTGAGCACCCTCTGCTTCCAAGAACCAGGTGCGTGTTGAGTGCAGATCACACACCACAAGTGACGACGGCCTCCAAGTAAATCTGGTAACTAGTCAATAATAGCTGATAGTTGGTAAATGATAGTTGTAATTAGTGACAACTGATAGAATACAACTGCAACAGGCTAATCATTTCATTGGCAGAAAACATTTACATTTTGTGGAGGCCGTCGTCACTTGTGGTGTGTGTCTGCACTCGACGGGGTCTGGTTCAGAAACAGAGGGTGTACGTCCTATGGGAAAATTGAGCCGATTTCAAAAGCATCAGTGACGTGATTGAAAATACCTTTGCTGTATAGAGTCACACGGTACAACGGCATGTAATTCTCCCAGCAAATCGCTCCACCAATCTTTCCCAGCGGAGTGTCAAATACCTCAAATGAAATTTCACAGACGTCCATTACTCAATCTCAGCTCAATCGATAATTTGTAAGGCCAGTGCCAGACTTGGCGAATCCAGCGACTCGCTAAGCGAATCGTGGGATACCCGACTAGAGGCTCAGCGAGAAGGCAGAGAAGCACACGTGTTAGTGGACGAGTCACAGCGCGTACTATAGTGGATGGTGTCATAACGTACTATGGCACGTTCCACATCAAACAGCACGCGCTGCGACTTGTCCGCTGACGTCTGCGTCGCCACGCGACGGGCCTCCTGTCGGGTACCCCGAATCGTGGAATCTACAATATCTGACACTGGCCTTATTCAGTCTCACGATCAGCTGGAAACCCACCGGCATCGTTGAACCATCTCCGAATCCCCAAATACATCGCTCTAACTCTGTTGGCATCAGCTTTCGGTGTTTTCCCATGTATCCATCAGGCCCGTAGTAGAAGATCTTAACCAAAACATTGCACACGGGAAATCAGACCTAAACCTCACACTTTCTCTTAATGGATCTCGAGTAGTGCTATCTATTAGTGGTGCTATCTATTCCATTTATTATGTAATGAATTTGCCGCCAAAAGCTTTATATGTGAAATTCCCTTGGGGTGATTCAGTGGAGACAACAAAACCACAAGAGCGGCTGGAAATCAATGGAACGAGGCCTTCCCCTCGGGTGGTTACTTTTAGATGGACGAGTTTCCCTGTCCCCTTACTGGGACTACCATCGGTAGATTTCACCAATCCACAGCGGTACAGATCGATTTGCTTCACATTTATAAGGACAAAATTCGCTGCAGACAACAAATTGCAGACAGATTCTACTACATATTTTCATTTCAGAGGCCATGGCGGTTCACTTGCAAGTAATCAGCATTTACCGAGCAGTAGAGGGTGCCACCATCTCGCTCTATCACACCGACTACCATGATGATCTTGTAGTTAGAGGCCATCTTGGCTTATGCGTTCCGACTCTGGACCATGTTCTTCTATAGCGATGTGTAATACCGGAAAAAAATTCGAAATTACAACTCAAAAAGTTGATATCTGTGCCACTTCTTGATAGTGTATTAACACACTTCCTCAAAACATTAACGGTACTTGTCAGTTGATGGTGTTGCGGAGGCTTATTCCACAAGTGATTGAGGTCGTTTGCACTGTCGGTAGCCTGATCCACTAGTTCATAGGTGAAGTGCCTTTCAAGGCTCCAAGGTGCGCAGCAATGCGATTGGAGGACTTGAAGCTAACTATGAGATTTTGGTTCGGATGTCCTTGGTGGGCGGGGCGTGCGCCAGGGTGGGCGTGGCCCGAATCGCGAATTTGTTAGGAGGTTCCCAAACAGCTTACAAGGGGAAAAAAGTGGATACCGTCAAGAGGGAGAACTCAAATGCTTCTGTTATTCAGGGCGTGGCCATGGGCGGCGCTAAAATCAAAAATCTAATTGCAACGTCTCATATCGCTGAAACACGATTTGATACGCATATTAGGGTGCGAGCAAAGCTACTTAACGAATATCGAATAAATTGACAACACCATGATCCCGAAATTTGTAAAATTAACGTTGACGTGAACACCGGTATTCAAATTGAAAAAATAAAAGGCGATTTTTCAATTGTAAAATATTAGACGACGTCAACAATAAAATGTGTAATCGTTAAGTATTTTTGATAATAAAATAAAAAAAACCCTTACTTCCTAAACTCTTCAGAGCCTTCTGGCGAATGATGACCGACAACGATTCCAAAGTCCATACCTTTCGGATATCCGCCGACAAATGCTTCTGAAAACTGTGCAATTACGTGCATAATAAAGACCAATTGATAAACCATTTAACCTGGGAAGAGCACAAGTTTTGCTCCCTTGTCTGCGGCTTCCTTAGTGAGACGTTCGAGTTTGTCTAATGTCGCTGGAGTGTCATAGATGATGGTACCCGCTTGAACAATTGCAATCGACATCTGGAACAAAAGGATTTTTCTCATTCGAGGAGGATGCGAACAACGGAAAATGATACATAATGGCACTCCTAGCTAAGAGAGTTATGGTGGAAAGCTGCTATTAGTTGGAGAGGACGTCCTTCGGCAGGTTTGCAGTGGTTAAGCACAGTCGACCATTCTCAGACGGTTTTACACATTTAAATTTCACAAAAGCATTTCCGGTATCTCCTTCTTAGAAACTTCTCTCAGGAAATTGTTCCCATAGATTTCGGAAGCAGTTTCAATTCAGCGCCTCGAGGCACATTCACAGGTACACATCTCATAGTGAATGGTCGAACTGACAAATCAACCTTTTATACCAGTACATGAAGACGCCTTGTGAGCTGCGGAGTATAGTATAATCAAAAATTCGCCAATCTGCAAAGAGGTTGCCTCATGAATGAGAGGATTCATTTGGGTGATGTAACTTTGGTGAACGGAGCCGCTCCCGAAGATCACTTGGATCGACTTGAACGAGGATAACTGCAGGAAGGGGCTCCGGCTGAAGTAGGGGTTGTTTTTACTCGGGCGTTATCGGGGTTTCTCTTGTTTTCTTTTTCTTTTTCGGACCACTCCCCACCTCCAGCTTCATTACTGAGGATTCCCCTGAGCTTGCC